CAAGAGGGTGTGTTGGGACAGAAAGGAATTTTAGAGACTATAGGTTCCTTTCCAAAACTCAAATATAAACCAGCATAGATTTTGCTATCTTTTTTTTCAATCCCAATAAATGCTGCCTTCCCGATATTTCAGTGTCATTAGATGGTATGAAAGCTCTCTGCCAATCAAAACATTCCTGTAATACCAGTGTTTTTAATTTGTGGATAGACTTGAAGACCTGTTAGAACTGTTCCCACTTCTCAAAAGAAATCTCGTAAAACTTGAGGGAGTCAAACAAAAAAAGAAATTAGAGCAGTGCCAGGTTGACCTCCAACCATGGAAACCCACTGGATGACTTTGGGCCAGCTAATCTTTCTCAGCCCAGGCTGCCAAACAGGGTTGTTGTTGGGAAAAATAGGAAGAGTGACCTCTCTCTTTAAAAGAGAGAACAATGCATATAGTTAATCATACACGTACAAACCTGCTTTAAAGGGCATGGGGTTGGTGAGACTTTACTTTAGAGAGATGCATCCCAAAAGAATGTTGCTATTTTTTTTAAAAAAATGTCTTGCTAATTCCCTTGAACTATCTAGAAAGGGGCTGGTTGACAATGAAAGCCAGTTTTTGAATCACAAAATAAAAAAAAGGCTTTTAAAAGGAATGAGCATGCCATTGTATTCTTCTGTACACCTCCTTCTGACCATCCTGTGTGTTTGTGCTTTTTATCCCTTGAAAATTTCAATGTATCTGACCAGCCCAGGTCTCAGGCTGCATTCATTGAAGCAAGAGGCAGCTATCAAGAGGCAGCTATGATTTTAATATCACTAGGAAAAGAGTAGGGGCTACCATTTCTGGCTGTGTAGGAATCATGTTCATAGATGGCCTCCTCCACATAATATTTGTATTTTCTTGACTTGTTCTTTGGGAAGATAGAGAAAAAAAGAGGAGGTTTGGAGGTTTCTGGCTCAGGAGTTCTTCTTGGCTGAAAACATGGATTACCTAATGGAGGTACCTAATGGAGCCTGCCCATTCCACTCATAACTCGGAAACTCGTAGAGTGAATCTCGTACCTCAAACGAGACCACTCCCTTGCTCGTTAAAATGCATACGTCTCTTTAAGTGAACATGAGATATTTCAGGGTGGAGAAGGCCATGGAGGGCCTAGTGATGGAACAGGTCCCCAAGGCCTCCCCAATCCACTAAGATACCTCATGCTTCTCCCTCCCTTCCTGTCGCGCCAGACTCACCTGGAAAAGATCCGTCTCCCGGATCTGAGACCAGGGGATGCTTCCGTGGCATTCCTGTGACCTGATCTGGGCTCCAGAGGGCTTTTCCAGGCCGCTGCCACCCGGATCTGAGGCCGGGGAATGCTTCTGTGCCCCCCTTCTGGCCCAATCTGGGCTCCGGAGGCCTTTTCCAGGCCGCTGCCACCCAGAAATGGGCCAAAACGCCACAGAAGCATCCCCTGGCCTCAGATCCAGGCGGCAGCAGCCTGGAAAAGCCCTCTGGAGCCCAGATCGGGCCATGGGAAGGCGCAGAAGCATCCTCTGGCCTCAGATCCGGGCGGCGGCGGCCTGGAAAAGGCCTCTAACGCCCCGATCCAGCCTCCGGAGGCACGTGGAAGCGTTCACAGGCTTCAGTTCCGTTCTCTGTGGCAGAGAACAGAGGCCTAAAGTACCATGAGATCACGCGAGATCAGTAGCGTGAGATCTTGCCCCACTGATCTCACGCAATCTTGCGTTACTTTAGGCCTCTATTCTCTGTGAACGCACCAAAGGCCTGGAGCAGCCAAGAAATCGAAGGATCTTGATCTTCGCAAAGTGAGTATTGAAGGCCTGGTGCCTAGGGAGATCCGGGCGGGGGTGGGGAGGGAGGGAATAACCTGGGTGAATGTTGCAGTGCCACTGTAGTCGTTCATAAGGGCGAACGACTGCCGTGGTGTGGCAATATTCATAATTTCGGAACTTGCTTGTAAGCACTAGGGGGCGCTCATCATGTAACTTTGAACAAGCGTTAAGTGAACGCTCGTAACTCTGGGATTACCTGTATAAGACTCCCAACAAAGAATATAAAACCTGGAGTATTTTTTATTAGCTTTCGTTGAAAAGAAAGCAATTTCCTTCCATTGAAATGAAGATGATGTCAGTTTGGCAAATTAAAAAGGAAATTCATCACTGAAATACCATGTGACTTTCTCTTTTTTGACTTATTAAGAAATCTGCCTTTGATTGAAGTAGTACAGGATCAAAATATATGGATAAGATCAATCTGCCAGGAGATGCCAATGTCCAAGGATTCAGCCAAACATGCAGTTTTACTCACGACCTTAAACAATTCCTTAAACAATACAATAAAGCATCTTCACACTCCTAAATCCTAATCTTAATCATAAATTTAATCTTTTAACAAACTCTCTTTACAAAATCAAAGAGAAAGGGGGATCAAAATTGATAGTTTTGCACATATGCAAAATTAAAAAGGGGTGCTCTCCTTATGTGAATGAAGTATATCTTATTTTGGACAAGATCTTAGTGATAGCGTAAGCTCTGTGTGGTAGCCTATATTCAGGATTACTTCTAAAGTTTCTAGCTACAAATATGAGTAATAACTGAGCAATCTTCCGATATTGAATTATACCAAGGAATCTAATGCTACTATGCTAGATCAAAGTCTTGCTACACCTGTGGCCCATGCAGAAGCAGGAGAGATGAACAGAGCAAAGTTAACATATTTCCTCTCCATCTGTCAACATTCAGGTTAAAATAAATTAATCTATTCATGGTAATTGTAATGGTTCAAATATAATACAATATCATGGAACATCTTTTTGTTGTATCTAGAAAAGCATAAGAGTCAGACTATAGAGCAGAGCACCAAAAGGTCAGATTGATAAATGCCAACCATAAGCTGCTAAGGGCATAACCCAGTATTCAGTACTGAAGAATAATCCTGTCTTTTACCACTTAAGAACTTGGGCAGCTGCTGTTCTAAAATATCTTTATTCAAAAGGGTACAGAACAGTAATTAAAATAGGAACATTGAACTCCCCAATAAAAATACACACATTAATAAAAGAAAATTCATGCCTATAACCCTAATTATATGAACAAGGGGGGGGAACCCCTAATTTATACTGAATAACTATGAGAATGTTTTTAAATGGTAACAAACATTGGTACCGTTGGTGGATGGTGATAACATCAAGGCCCTTTTAATTCTAAATTAGAATAAAAGAACTTGAGACTGTGAAAGCTTCTTTGGAAATCAGGGATAAGAAGTTGATTGCAAGATGAATATGTGAACCATTAGTATCTCTGTTGTGGTTCTTATTTGCCTGCTTTTCACTGAGGAATAAAAACCTCCCTGGAACTTTGTTTTTACTATGGCAATTGCAAGGAAGTTGTTGTATGTTCAAAAGTGGAAAAGTTTGACTTACGCGCAATGGAGGGATGGTTGGTGATGATGATGGAATTTGCAAAGATGGCTAAATTGTCTTTCTTGATTAGAGAAAAGACAGTATCTACATTTATGATTGACTTAATGCTTTTTGCATTAAACAGGAAAAAATGCACTTATGACTTGCGGTTTTGATGATTAGAAAAAAAAAGGATAATAGAAGTAAATGAGCTTTTTTGTAATCATAGAGCAAGAGATAACTTTGTAATTCTTATATTTGCTACAGAGGAAATCAAAAGCTTTTTATCTTTTCTTTCTGTACTTTTGCTTTTTTCTTTTTCTCTGTGTTCTTCATTCTGTATTTGTGTTAATTTTTATATTTTCTTTAAAACTTTTTGTAAAATTTATATATAAAAAGAAATCAAAACATTAAGGTAATTTTTAAAAAAAATTAAACAAGAGATAAAAGCAAATAAAAAAAGAATTAAAATTAAATAAATGTATCATAAACCACATTTGTATATGCATTTCTTAATACAGACATTTTAACTATCCATATTCAAAATTTCTAAGCAAAATGACATTTGTACAGATCAGGCTAATCTGTTGAGAAGAGCATTGTTAACATAGCTAATAAATAATGATCACAGTTGAATTTTTTTTTAGATTTTTTTCCCAAAACTCTCTTCTGTTGTATTTAATTTTTAACCAGAACAAATGCCCATACTTTTAATATAATTAATTGAATGAAAGTTCTATTTCATGGAGTCATGGAATGTAAAGGTTGACAGGGACCTATTTTTCAGTGTTTTATAGCGGAGGTCCCCAATCTTTTGGGCACCAAGGATCGGTTCCATGGAGAAAGGTTTTTCCATGGACCAGAGGATGTGTGGTTTTGTGTGCTGCCTGCATCTCACGGATGGGGTTTTACTTGTTTGTGCGGCCCCGTACCAGTCCATAGACTGGGGGTTGGGGACCCCTGTTTTATAGTGACAAATCTAGTCATTAATAACACATTAAACCAATGAATTCATTTATATTCCTCAGGAAATATGAAATAAATAATATTTATTTTAAAAGATGATTGGGTAATTTCCCCAATTTCTTCAAAAACTTGTTACTAATTGGAGTTGATCATCTAAATGTAGCAGTATGCTTGCAATCCTGTCAGCATAATCCAGAAAGGTTATAATTTATTTAGTGTCATGTACTATCATTTCAACATTAGTACTATTACCCATAAGATATTTTCATGGTTAGTTCTTCTTGCCCTGTTGAAATAAATTCTGTGCCACAAAAAATTATAGTAATCAGATTCAGATACCAGCTGATCCTTGCAGAGTTTTTGAAGACTTGGTGTAAGAATTTTATGATGTATTAATATTACCAAGAATCCCTTGCTTTTAAGTGAAGTAGGTCTACATCTTTCTTCAGCTTTTCTTAATGCTCTTAATTGACGCAATCTAGATAATTTATGAAGGAATGATTGAACTTAACTTACTTGAAACCAAATTGAACATGAAATTAGGAAGGCTCCTTTGATAACCAACACAATGAGATGAGAAGTTGGCTGCAGTAAGTATATATAAAATGATGACATTCCTTCTTTTCCCAAACAGGAGGATTCCAGGTTATGTCCTTTGAGCAGCCAAACAACTGTGTAGCAGCTGAGACCCTTTGTCTAGCTGAGCCTTCCTGCAGTGCCACCTATCAGATCCTGCAGAACTGTTCCCAGCATCTTTCTAAGAACAGTTACGTCTTCCTGTACCAAGAAGCCAACAACAGATGCACAGAGGCACAAATAAAAATGAGAAATGGCCATTTTCAGCACTGCAAATGTCACCGACGTGCACAGAAGAAGGAAGAGCGGTGCAAGCAAATCTACCGGGCTCTTCATTCAACTTTAACACAAGGTGTGATAGAAACTTGATGATGATTGATTTTCTTGTATCACTAGAGACAGTAGAGAAAAAAACCCCCAACGTTCTGGTAGAAACAAATGCTTAGATCTAAGAGGAAAATAACTGGCATCAGTGTCTGAAATCTCATTACAGTCTTTCCCAGCTTTGCCACTTGAGACTTTTAAATAAAGAAGCTGGAGACTGAAGTCCAACCCCCTTACGCTCAGGGCCATAAGGAGCACTGTACATCATAATAAGTTATAATCTATTAGAAAGGCTTGCACTACAGGAATGTGTTTTATGCCTTAAAAGATGAGAAATACAATGGCACATTTTAGCAAGGACAAAGAGGTTGTTGTTGTCCAGGAACCAGAAAAAAGGGTGAAGGACTGGACTCAAAGACCCCATTTGGAAGTGCCCTCTTAAGATTAGTCCTCAGACAGGGCTATTTGTGGAAGAGAGCAAAGACAACTTTTGTTGTACATATCTCCATTGGAATCCCATTGACAGACGCCCTGGTTCAAACTCCGCAGAAACTACCTAGATGCTTGACATAGCATGGCTAGCTAAGAATCTTTATTGCATACTGAATGAAGCCTATTTAAGCAAGTGATCATCTTCTGTCAATATGAGACTGTTGTTCCTTTTTATACCCATTGTGATTTAAGTTCAGCACTACCCCCCCCCCCCATCCCTTTCCTACATCTTAATGGGCATTTTGTTTTGCCATTTTCAAGAGTGTTGTTCCCTTCTGCTGTATCCTCCCATCCATCAGCCAGTAGAAAAACAAATTGGTTTAGATTTTGCTGTTCCCATCACTAATCCCAGTTACTGTATCTATTTCCTATGTAGGGAAGATTATTCTCTCCCCCCCCCATCAGCTGGGTCTAGGAGGTCATACAATAGATGCCTCAGCAACAGAGGAAGTGGCTTCCAACTTCTTTGAAAGAGGCAGCCTCTGCTTGCCTAAGGCCCAGGCTCTCTTAACGTTCAGGCCATCTCGCAGTGGTAGCACCGGCAGCAGGCAAGGCGCAGAGGCATGTGATCCGGCCTGCCCAAAAACCTACAGTGGGATGGAGTGGACGGGGTCTTAAGTAGGGCTTATTTTTGTGGTAGGGCTTATATTAGGTCCAACCCTAAAAATCAAGCTAGGTCTTATTTCCAGGGTAGGTCTTATTTTCAGAGAAACACGGTACTGCCACCACTGGTCAGCTGAACATTTGGGCTGAACCAAGTCTCCAAATTGGAATTAGTTCAGAGACATAGCAGGTAAAGAGGAAGAGCCCAGTTTGAAAGAACTGGGCATTTTCACTTCTGAAAGCAGTAGAGGACAATGTGTGGGAGGTGATGGCTATTTGTGTGCACTTACTTAAACTGACTAATAGTTGCGAAGCTGATGCAACCTTCATAAGGAGTAAATTGATAGCTATTAAAATGTACTGGATACAAGTGTCTTGCCACTTAATCAAAGAAAATCTAGTAAATCCCAGATGATGACGATGTTACCATTCAGTTGTGTCCCACTCTTGGCATTTCTATGGGCCAGGTCTCTCCATTTCTTCCGATCTTGCACTATTTTTTTGAGTTTTTCTATTCTCTGGCTGTGTCAGCTTTGATAGTGTCCAACCATCATGTTCTTTGGCAGCTTTCTTTCCTTTTACTGCTAACTCTTCCAAACATAATTATTTTCTCCAGTGAATTCCTGCGCATGACATGGCCAAAATCAGTGAGACGTAGTTTTGTGATTTTTCTTTCTAGTGACTTGTGGTGTTATGTACACCAGTACTTTCTTGTTGGTCACCTTTGCTGATCAAGGAATACACAAGTGCTTTTCCAGCATCACGGTTTATTATTATTAGCATATGGCATTGTTTCATTAGCCAGGAGACCGCAATGCTATTGCAGAGTAGTAGTTTGGCTGTCAATTTACCTGCTGTGTTGTAGGACATGCCTGTGCACTTCCCAAAGTGTGCCACAGGAGGGCGAGCTGGCTTCTCACCAGAAAGAAAGTCAAGTAGCTCTACCTGCAGTGTCATCCTAGCCCCACACTTCCCCAAAGCTGCCTCATAAATGGGCGCAGCAACCAGGAAGTTTCAGAATGGCAGGAATCTGACTGCCTGCACAGAGCACCAACTCATTTCCCCCCCTCCCTCCCATCGAAGTGGTATCTACTCGCATAGCACATGGTTTCAAACTGTTAGGTAGTCAGAAGCTGAGGCGAGTGATGGGAGCTCACCCCGCCATACAATGCTAGGACTCCCAACTGCTGGAACAGAGGCCATCTCCAGCATCATTAAGCCACTGAGCCCCGCGCCTCTTACCACCACAGCTCAAACGAGTTGATTTTCTTCCTGTCTTGCTTTTTAATGGCAAGCATCCAGTAGTTCAGACCTATTTTTCACCTCAGTTGTGTATGTCGTAGGGATTTTGGTGACATCAAATTTCTTTGGAGGCACTGCCTCTTCGATGGTGCATAGTTTGACTTTAATCTTTGCCACCAACACTTCATGATCTGAGCCACAATTAGCACTTAGATATGTATCCTAGATATATAATGTGAAGACAAATAAATAATTGAAACAATTTTATTCTGGAACCTATATTAAGAACCTAAAACATTATATTGCTTTATATTGTTTTAGATAAATAATAACTTTAAGCATAATTCCACAGTGCATATTATAGTCTGATATTAGCAATTATTAAGTTTAATAATGTTAATATACAGACCAGTTATCCGTTTATAATATTTGCCTCCCAAACTAACTGTGTTGTTTACTGTGTAAACTGTGTAATGTACACTTTGCTGTGATCAGGCAAGCCCATTTTCTAAAACTCTTTGTTTTTAGATAATGGTTTCTCATAATCTCTTGGGAACCTTTCAGTACTCCAGTAGATAAAATTATATTATTTTATGTTGTACAGATGACTTTCATTTAGAGGTGCTTCCCCATAGGGAAATAGCAAACGAAAAAGCTATGAAGACAAAATACAACAAGCTGGCAACTTGTATCTCAGATAGAATTTATATCAGCCATTTGCACTTTTAGCATACTGCCTAGAATCCCTTACGACTAAGGTAGTAAAAAATCTTACAAAGAAATTAAATAAAGAAATTCAGATCTCTTTTTTCCTATAAATTGTATGTAGGGTAAATCGTAAGTAGCAGCAAATATTTAACAGGCAATTTTAAAGATAGCTTCAAGAACATATAGATTGGGTGAAACCAGGCTTTATAGCAGCAACTGTGAGAGGGATCTTGGAGTCTTAGTGGACAATCAATTCAATATGAGTTAACAGTGTGCGGCGGCAGCCAAAAAAGCCAACACAGTGCTAGGCTGTATTAACAGAGGGATACAATCAAGATCACACATGAGGTACTAATACCACTCTATAAAGCCTTAGTAAGACCACACCTAGAATAGTGCAATCAATTTTGGTTTCCACAGTATAAAAAAGATGTTGAGACTCTGGAGAGAGTGCAGAGAAGAGCAACAAGGATGATTAGAGGACTAGAGACTAAAACATATGAAGAATGGTTACAGGAACTGAGCATGGGTAGTCTAGTGAAGAGAAGGACCAGAGGAGACATGATAGCAGTGTTCCAATATTTGAGGGGCTGTCACAGAGAGGAGGGTGACGTTAACCCATTTTCCAAAGCACCTGAAGGCCAGACAAGGAATAATGGATAGAAACTGATCAAGGAGAGATTCAACCTGGAAATAAAGAGAAATTTCCTGGCAGTGAGAACAATCAACCAATGGAACAGACTGCCTTCAGATGTTGTTGATGTTTCATCTCTGGAGGCTTTCAAGAAGAGACTGGACTGTCAGAAATGGTGGGACTCCTGCTTGGGCAGAGGGTTGGACTAGATGACCTACAAGGTCCCTTCCAACTATTCTACTCTACTCTACTCTACTCTATTCAAACATTAAGGCACAGAGGCAGATAAAGACATTTCTTTGAACCCCTGGTTTTCTACTCTTAACCAAAGACCATTACTTTCACAGAAAGAGAAACCACATTTCCTCCACTCTAATTAATCTGTAATTAATTTTTCCAAAATCAGAATCTCAGCCATGAAGTGATGTCTCCACAGTTAATCTCACACTGTCAATCAATGCACAGCAAGCCCTCACCTAAAGCCAAAAGTACAATATCTTCCAAAACTTACAAATCTCCACACATAAGCTTATTACATCTAAGGTTACTTTTCATCCAAATATCTGCCCCATCCACCCATCTCTTGCATGCATTCCCAGCTCTGCCTTCTACAATACCAATTGACTTTCTAAATACTTAATTGCATTCTCAGATTTTTTTTTCTGCTACTCTCCCCAGTTTCCAGAAGAATACAGTATTTCCCCCAGACACCTTTTCTTTTTCAGCTAACTAATTGAAGAACAACCATTTCACAGCCCAATTCTTTTATTCTGAAGAATCATCTGAGTCCAGAGAATATGTTGCCCATTGGTAGCACATGGCCAACTCCAGCAGTTTATCCACCTGACCATAACCCCAACTATTGTTCAGAATACTGACAAAAATGCTGAATGCTGAATAACCTATGAAGAAATTACTTTCCTCATGAAGTTCTCAATTCATGTAAGAAATATTATAGTAGATTTGCAGAAGGAAAAGGCATTATTTCAAACGCTTCCACTTATTTTGTTCTTATTTCATAATATATTTAATTAAGCCAGTGGTGTGTATGGCACTTTTACAGAGTTGTCCCAAGGAGCTTTCTGTCTTAAATTTGACATTGGGTAAAGAATAAAAAGAGAGACATGGATTAAACAGACAAATAATTCATTATTGAATTGTAGAGAGATTGTGGTGATTGTCTTTTCTGTTTAATCTCCTTTGGCAAATCATTTCTGGAGTTTGCTGTTACCTCCTTGTATTTCTATGGATTTATAGGTTCCCCTAGACCCAAAGATAGCCCAAATTCCTGCCTGCTTGCTGCTAATATTTGCCAAATGGATCACAAATGCACGCGTCACCGCTCACACTACGTTCAGGCCTGCAACCCAGGATACCCCTGTGACCAACACAAATGCCGCCAAAGTCTGAGACACTTCTTTGAGAAGGTTAATGCGGATTTCACCAAGAGGCTCCTGTTTTGTCCTTGCCAAGATGAAGCTTGTGGGGAACGACGCTGGAAAACCATTGTCCCAGAATGTTCTTTCCTCAGCAGCAGCAAGCCCAATTGCCTCTTCTTGATGGATACCTGCCTCAAGGATAAAGTCTGCAGGTGCGTCTAATGGAATGACTATCTGGATAAGTTTCATGGCATGTGGGCACCTGAATATTAATGTCTATAAGAGCAGTAAAACAGATGTGTTACAATTCTGATAGGTGTGATGTACCTATTTAAAAAATACAAACACCTCCCCCCCACAAACCCATCCAGAAGTGGCCACAAGGGGGTTAGTATCATGTCAACTCATGTGACATCACTGTTTCACTACAATCCCCGAGGTCCTCTGTTATCTTTATAAAAATGGGAAAATATAGTGCAATCTCCCACTTTAAAAAATTGCTCAATTTTGGTTTACTCTATCAAATAATGGAAAAACTAATAAATCATTTCTGGGCTAATAAAGGGGTTTGTCATTCTGATAGTTGTGTCTCCTGTCAGATCCCGGCTGACTGATTTCCAAGAAAAATGCAAATCGTTACAGACATTCACAGATGGCTGCTCTCCATCGAATTATGCAGCATGTCTGCAAGCTTACATGAAGATGATTGGTATGTGTTGGGCCTGGTGGAATTTATTGGGAAGTTTGATAGAAAATCTTTTCTGACTTTGACTAGTGCTGCCCAAATGGGTCTCCATACTCCCATATAGACGCCTCTGTTTTTATAATCCTTTGCCTGGTTAGCTCTAGTCACAAGGTTCTGAAATCAACACATCACTTGATTAATGTTTGCTATGAATTGGTAGCTCTTAGTGACTCACTATAGAATATCCCCAATATAGGTTGTTGACAGTTAAATGACTACATTATATAGACTGAAACTTCTCTGAAAAAAAATGGTACAGGAACTTTATTAAAACTAGCTTATTTCCAGATCAGAATTATATAGTCTTAGGTTGCTGATTGAAAAGAGTGATTCACCAGTTTTATTGCACATTTAAAGAAAATAGTTCTATGGTTTTGTATTAGCCTTTTTGGTTTAGGAATTAAAAGGTAAATCTCCTTTAAAATTATATTGATTCTTTAAAACTATCTTTTAAAACTGTCTTGATTAAAACTATCTTGTAATTTAACGAACACATCTATGTAGTTTTCTTGGCAACAACACGCTCATGACTTACTATCGCTTTCTTCTGGGATGTCTGGTTTTATTTTATTTCTTTATTTGAAACAGGTACATCTTTGACCCCCAATTATGTGAGCAATTCCAGTACTGAGATCACACTTTGGTGCTCCTGCAAAAACAGTGGCAATCATAAAGAGGACTGTGATCAAATCCTTAACTTATTTTCCAGCAACAAATGTCTCTGTAAGTCAATATTGAAATGAATATTAGGGTCAGATCTTGATTCTTCTAACCCAAAAAGTTTCCCAGTGAAATAGATTGGGAGAGTATTCTCTAGAGAAATGAAAGTAGGTTTCTATACAGTGCAAAATTAAATTTGAAAGTTAAACTGCTAGAAGACTTTAATAAATACTCCATTTATATTCCACCAGTCTTTCAAGGACATGCAGATGATCAGGTCCATTACAGATTTTCATAAAGATGGGGGAAATTCATGGAGGATAGATCTGCCAGGTACTGTTAGGATACTGAAATGCAGATGAGATTTATTCATTTTTCACATTTATACCCTGCTGCAATATCCAAGGATTTTGAAAATATAAAAAATACCCTGCTCTTGCCTTCCTCCATTGCTTATTGTATCTTTATCATTATCATTAATTATTCTTACCTTATTAATATCTTCATTAATTACATCTGCATTCAATAAAAGAACGCCATCAACTTCTTCATTCTGCTGATACTGGAAATATGACAGTCGCCTGAGCACTAAATTTGTTTTCTATCCGCATCATTGCCTATACACTTTAGAAAGTTAAGCTTGTAAGATAAATATTTTTCACTATTGTAAAAGTGAGGTTAAACATTGGTTTCAATTCTTAATGTTTCACCTTTTTAAATTAGAAAAAATGCTTATGAAAAAGGTTTTTCGTGCTTCTTGGTTAATTTTTAATTATGATTCATTATCAGATTCTCTTATCCCCTTCTTTGGAAGGGAAGAAAGACATATGCCTGAACTTGATTGATAAGTTCACGTCCCTGCCAAGCCTGGTGATATATTACACTGGAATAGTTTTCTTGCTCAAGAGCAATATACAGTGAGTTAATTGCCAAAATGCTCTTGCATTAAAGCCAAAAATTGATGAATAAAGAAACTGCAGGTTTCTGTGTAGCCAAGGAAGAATGAAAAATGCCTGCTAGTTTTTGATAAGAGACTTGTGAAAAATATAACTACAGTAATTGACCAGCATATTTGCTGTGCTAAATAAAACTAGAGCCTTCAACCAATGGCTCAGAATTTGTATCATGGACATATGAACAGTTAGAGATCCTCAACACTCCCCCATGTTCTCTGTGTCATAGATAATGCAATCCAAGCTCAGATGAATCTTGGCCAAAATAATGAGGAGGTGCAGGACCAGCCACAATTCACCCCTTCCTTAGACATTCATGGCACCAGCACAATGTTCACTGAAAAACTGTATCAGGTAAGATAATTATGTTAATTAAACTATACTATAACTGAAATCAGAGAGATGATATGACTAAAATTACAAGCGGTCAGTTAAATATATTCTGAGAGGTTTTCCCCTTTGACTCAAGAGGCCTCCAGAACATCCAACAGAAAAAAAGGAGAGGAAGAGAGAATTTAAATGAGATATATCCAATCAGAACTTAATGTTTTCCCTCTTTCTCTGTCTCCCTTTATAGGAACCTAAGGTGAAGCAGGAGAAGAAAGATTCAGACATTCTTACCCTCAACCAAAAATCACCCCCAAATTCTGAATACCCCAGAGCTGGGTTTTCCTCACTCATCTTGGTCTTAACCTTAGTCTTCTTATTTCTTGGCCCACCTTAATCTCACCTGAATTTCATTGCTACTATTGTATATTTCCTTGAGAAGGGGAAACTGACTTGTTTCATGCAGAGAGGAAACATTGGTCACTCTACATTTGTTTCCCCTTCTATCAGCACAGTGGCCCTTTGACTCATTTTTGTACACGGTTGCAATAGGAGCCAGGGGGAGATGATGGGGGGTTCAGATTCCCCCTCTCCCGTGGAGAAAAAAGCAAGCAGATAGGAGATTCTAGGGAACTATTTTTTAAAATCTAAATCAGGGTAAAGTTTTCATATTCCAAGATATCCTGCTTTAAGAAGACAAAGAAGAACTGGTAGTCTCTAACATGATGTGCAATTTCTGGCCAAAGGAGCACCCCAACATCTGGATTGTTTTCAGGACTATATTGTAGAATTGTCTTTTTTTTTTAATCAGCCAAAGCAAAAATGTTACATTAAGGTCATGATACTAAACTGTAGCCTCCGTACATGGTTTCTTGTTTGCCCAACTAATCTTAATGTGTTAACTGTTCAGGGGAAATTTAATTCACTTGAGCCAAGATGGATGTATGTATTTTTTTCAATAAAATGGTTCTTTGCAACAGCTACAAAGTGCAGATTTTCATAAGAGCCTGCATGCAAGCTAAGATTTTATGCACAACAGATCCCTGGATGCATCAAATGTTGTTTGCCATGTTAACATTCCCTGACATACCTTTCTGTACATTGTGTAAAATTACAAGTTATCCATGATCTGACAATTGTGGGTGTAGAAACTGTGATATTAGATGTTGTTTTTTTGAACCGCAATGGTATGTTGTTAATGCTGTTTATAGATTACTTATTTACATTTCTTATATGGATACTGCCATGTGAACCTTCAAGTTTTGAAAGAACTATCAAGTAAATCCAGTAATTCTTCATTGCATCTCTTTCCTTCTTATTCTAAACAACTGGAATGTTGTGGCTGTGAACTTGCCTGTCCTATGTGCAAGGATTAAGGCTGTGCTGCATTCCATAGTGGTGTTTATTCTAAAACAAAGTTGTAACATAACATATAATGTAATAAATTCTCTACATTTTAGCATGTTCACTTTTTTAAATTTAGGCATAGGTTTTGTCTTCTGAACAGTGAAGAATCTTGGTAGAAAGATTCTTCACCAATACGAAGTTTCATCTTCATTTACTGTATGCTTAGTATCAAAAAATGAAGGCCTGATTTGCACAGATTCCTTCACCTTTCTGCAGTAATAATGGCACCTATTACTGAAATTATAAAAGGATTTGTCCCCACTTTTTCAATTTGCAGTTATATTTGTACAAAGAAATTTGGAAGCATGGCTTATTTTTTAAAAAGCAAGAAATGATAAGTGTTACTAGAAGGAATATTAAATCTTATTAACAGTTTTTTCAAACAACTGTGACTGTAAAATAAAATGTTAGAACATATTATAGATTGGAATTAAGCATTTGGAGTTTTGTACAAATTCTGAAGATGAGTTATAGAATCCATTTAGATAAGTTAATAATTTTGCAACACTACAATTTCCATTAAGAAGACATGACAAAAGTGCAAAGTATTGGAAAGCCCTAAAATTAAACTTTGTAATAAGTGCATAGGTAAAGATAGTTTTTTTAAAAAAATCATAGTGCTGTTTTCCATGATTGACTTTCTGCAGTTATTACATTTATAATAGATTTACAAGAACTAGAGGTACAACAATTGCAAAACTGAACGTCCATACTATAATGAATTGAGAAGCAAACTACAGGTTTTAAAGGGTGTGGTCCTCGTATGGCATGCATGTACATCAACAAAACTTTGATGAACTTCCTTTTCTTCACTTGGGCTGCGCTTCTGTTTCCTGAGGTCCATGCACACCTTGGGAAATAAGAAGACTCATTTAGCCTTCATGAGCTATTTAGGCTTCTCTCTCCTTCCCCTAGATTGGAGGAGAATGTCCCAATCATTCCACAGGCCTCTGTACTGCCTATGTATATGATAAGAGGGAGAACAAGATATTGAAAAGTGTGGTATTAACTACTGCCAAGGTCAATGTTTATCAACTGTGGCAACTTTTAAGTTATATGAATTTCAACTTCCAGAAATTCTAGTGACTGGAGAATTCTGGGCGTTGAAGTCCATAGTTGCAATGGTTGAGGAACATTGGCCTAGGACATGCCAGTCAGCATTTTCAGCTAAAGTATTGTTCCTCCTCCATTTTCTTACATTGTTCTAATACTTATTCTATACTTCTTATATGGTTATATTGATTTTATTTCATATAATATTGAGTACATCAGCAACTCCCATGCCTCTCCTGAGAGGAGAAACTGCAGAACACTAGACATTCCTAAAATGTTATCAAGTGTCTATAGTATATTGTCTGGGTCTCTTGGCAAACATAAAAGAAGTAAGAGTATTCTGAATTACTGTAATAAAAATTCCAATATCTTGCACATGTTATTCAGCTTATAATGTCAAAAATAAAGTTTACTTTACAACTCTGGGCATCTTTTTCCCCCTTGACTTCAGCAAGAGATGTATTGAATGTCAGTACCTCTGTGATGATTCTACAATACAGACAGCTCTTAATCTCATTTATGAAAATGGAACTAAGCCAGATAATTATATAGTCTCATCACTGTTTGCACTATTTAGTTGTGTGACTATAGACCCAGAAAAAATTATTCCTCAGCTATTTTGAAATTGGGTTGTTACTTCATAGATGAGAGAGGTATTTTCCCAAAGCCATGAAGTAAAAAGACACTCTTTTTCACAATGCAAGAATTAAGAAGTATCCTTTAAATAGAGATTTTCCATATTTTGGAACTAATTAAGATTTAGGAAATGCTAAGAGCTAATTGTTCATATGACCCATCTACAGGGCTGGAAAAACATCCAATTTATTTCTTGAATTATGGAAGGATCTTCCAGTATATGCTATTGTTGGTAGAAAGTATGGTGGATCCTAGATGTGTCTACTGCTTATTTGAACTTCATAAAACTAGAAAAAATTGAGTAATAAAACAAGTGAGACAATTTGAAATGCAGAATGTACGTGGAGAAAGACACACAAATTAAGCTAGTTCTCACTTTAGATCATTTGCTGAGTGACAGTGGAGAAATACATTTCACACTAAGCACTCTAGTGCAATTTAAACTGAATTGGGTTTTATTGGTGATTTTAGCTAGTTGCGAGTATCAGCATATTTGTAATATCAAGCATTTTGAATTTGAAAAAAATCTTGCTTCAATTACAATTGAGATCTAAATTACATAAAATGTCAAATGTAACATTGCATCTAGCGTGTTGTTTTTAGAAATGAAAACTGAATTAGCACAGAAGCCAGTAAGTAATAAAATCAGAACTGCTATATAGAGGAATACATTTTTTTTTAGATCTGAGGACAATTCCTTTTCCAAAGCAAAACCTCTTGTTGGGAGATGGGAAATTTTCATAGTTACCAATGCTCTGGTAACACCCATAAGATTTTTTGCTAGAAACTCCCTTTTCCTAGGAAAATACTCTGAAGTATCATTGTTCACTTTTCTCCTTTTGAATAAGTCACACAAATGGTTCTTGGTTGATAAAAGTAAATGGGATTAGACTTTCCATCACTTGTGAGCTGGTTACTAAGCACCCAGATCATGATCATAACCATGGGAATGCTGCAATGGCTTGAATTTTGAGGACCAGTTGCAAGTTCCATTTGTTCAACACCATTGTACATTTTGTCAGAGAACAAGTGGTCGTTAAGCAAGGACCACCTGTACTTGAGTAAGTGATACAGTATTACATCTCCAGATATTTCCGAATTGTATCAGGAAAAAAGATGAGCTATATACCTGTTCTTGGACAACTGAGTTGACTTTTAATGCCATCAACTCTGATATTCTCTTACAGCACTTGAATTGAGATAGGAGACAATTATATTGATCTGCTTATATTTAGCAAATAGACCTGCTATGTTGTGGTTTTATCCTTTAAATTACATCAAGCTCTATTTTCTGTCCCATGCTGTTCTACATTTACATTACACTAAAGCTGTCTAAAGAAACAAAAGTTATATACATGCTCTTGACAGCTGGCAATATTTTTTATCTAACCTAGATTGATCCTGGACTAGGTGAGAGGATGGAAATATTGCTGATCAACAGTCACTAATCAGAGAGGAAAAAGCAGTGACTTCTTCAGCATCAGTTGCAGTCTCCCTTAATGATCAGCTGCACAATCTGGGAAGTAGTATTGAATGAGGCCTTAATTTTAAATAAGGTACAAAACCTGTTTAATCAAGCATTCATCTGCCAGATACACTTTTAACATATTTCAGTGATCATTGTGATATGTGGTAGACCGATATGTTTACCAAAGACTTTTTTTGGTGCTGGCTAAACTGGTGGATAAGGGCTGAGGAGATACAGATCCAAGCCTGCTCAGAATGGTAGAAGCCACAGCTGACTCTGGATCCTTGCTCTATCTCAGTCCAACTTACTTCATAAGAGAGCATATGGAGGAGAGAACGTAATGAATGCTACTGATTTCCTAGGGGAAAGTCATAACGTAAATAAAAGGAAGGAGGGTTAACTTGTCTTCTCAGACCCTGCCTCATGCATACACATGCATCTTAATCCTAGGACATCTTTCAAAGCAAATATAACCATAATGAGGTACAAGCCTTTTGAAGATAAGATAATCAACTTACTTGGTATTTCCTTAATCTCTGAATTCTTACTTTAGCTTGGCAAAAGCTAATGGAACTGTGATATAATTTTTTTGTTGTTCAGTTACTTCACGACCCCATAAACCAGTGATGGAGAACCTTTTAGAGACCGAGTGCCCAAACCTCAACCCAAAACCCACTTATGTATTGCCGGGTGGGTGTGGCCCGCTGGGTGGGCGTGGCTACAGTGGTCATGGCAGACAGGTGGGCATGACCAGCTTGATGTTGCTCCTGGGGAGGGACGCCTGTGGAGCCGGGCAGGGTTGGGGGAGATCCAGGGGTCTCTGGTGGGTGGGGCGGTGGGCAGGAGGCTGGTTCTGCGGGGTGAGGCGAGGCAGGGTGGGGGTGCCATGTCGCAGGGCAAGGCGAGGCAGGGGCTGGGGCGGCTGCTGCCTGACACCATCGGCCTCCGCACACAAAGGCCAGCAAGCACATGGGTGATGGGATGCATCCGGCCACGTGGGACCTCGGCAAGTTATCAGGCGGCTGGTTGAAGAGGACAGTTGCCATCTCCGGGGCATGGTGCGCGTGCCCATAGAGAGGGCTCCGAGTGCTGCCTCTGGCACGCGTGCCATAGGTTCACCACCACTGCCATAAACCATAGCATGCCAGCCCCCCCCCCCCTATCTCCTGGAGTTTGCCCAAATTCATTGTGTTGATGACACTATCTAACCATCTCCTCCTCTGCGGTCTCTTCCTTTTGCCTTTAATCTTTCCCACTATCAGGGTGTTTTCCAAGGAGTCCTCTCTTCTCATTAGATGGTATTTGAGCTTCAGGTTCAGTACCTATTCTTCCAAAGGACAGTCAGGGTTCCTTTAGGAAGCTTATAACTTTGGTTATGTTTTAATTGCTAAAAGCAATTATTTTATATGGTGAGAGAAGTGAATACATGGATGCATTCATATTTCAAGTATTATCAAATGTATCACAGTTACATGTCATGAGTGTTACCTATGCAGATTAAATCAACATGGTATTTCTGGTCCTGTTTCAGGGAGCTAATGTTAGCTTTCCTAGAGAGCAGCTTGAACACAATGAAAGCCTGTAATTTGTTCAGAAATCATGATAATATTCACAAGCTGAATGTCAGTAATGGGCCAATGAAATCTAAGTTGTATAGCTTCTAAAAAGCTATTCTCCATATGCAGCTAGATGCAAGTGACGTGTTACTTTTGAAGTGTACATTTTAAAGGCAAACATTTTCTATTTCTAAAATACTCCCAAATAAATTGTTGTTTGCTTTGTTGTGATTTAATATTATAGTAAAGTACAGAAATGGCTGTAAATAAGGTATTCAACAGCTATTACATAAATACCAGCTTAGCTCTGGAAGGGAAGCAGGAGAAAGGAACTCAAGATTATCCCATCTTGATTGTCTGGCATAAAAAGGGGAAGAGAGTAGCTTTGTCAAACCCTGCAGCAATACAATTCCAGTAGTATTTGTGGATTCTATTTTCTTTCCTGGCTTATATAGAACAACTAACAAATATATTACTTAATTCTTTATTTGCTATACATTGCTTTAAGAAGGTTTTACCCTAAAAGATTGAATATATGTGCATTAATGCATAGGGGAGTAAAGCAATGTGATTTGGTTTTGGTGTGTTTTTTTTTCAAAAATCTATATTTTGATCACAACTACATTTACCAACAAGCCAACACTGATTGTATTCTAGGCTATTGTATTTGGAGTTGCTTGTGAAATGCTTATTTCTGGCCTATGATGTGCAAAATAGCCATCAATGCATGAAAATATTTGAAATAAATTTTAAAGGCTCAACTATATATTCATATAGATCAATTACTAAAGATAAGTTTGTCATCTGCTTTGCTAATGATTACTGTCTCCAAATCTGTTCCGGAAGCTTTAAACAAGTATACTATGTCATAATTGCTTTGTTTTTAAAAGCTCCTTTAAAAGTATTCCTTATTGATAATTATTTGAGCTCACGTAGGTGAATTGTTGATCCATAAACAATTACTGAGTAATCTGCTGATTCAATAATTCTATTATGGAGCGCATGGGACTTCTCAATCATTGAAGATAGACTGTAATTCTCTAAGTCTTACATGAGTTTCGTAAGAAAGTAAATCAGCTATTGGATTCACAGATTAACTCCCAGTTACTACTTTTTTCTGAGGCTAAAGCAAGCTAGCCCAATATAAGTTCTCCATTTGCATTTTTATTTTCTAGGCATGTTTCACAGGCAGATTCTTCAGCAAAAATTATAATAATCATGACAATTTCCCCAAAATGTGGATTTTCTAGTAATATATATTTGCTTCCATATTTCACTTGTATTCTTACTCAATCCATGTTTATTATGTGCCAATCCATGAATTAGGCCCTTTCCACACTGCTCAATTGCCCCATTGCAACAAGTTCAATTAATTTTCTTCTCACCTCAGGGCATCAATTTCTCCTCCATTTCCAAAATACACATGTCATCTGAGTGCTCTTGTCTGCTTGAGATGGAGCAGGGGTGTCAAACTCGCAATGTCATGTGATGTATCCTGACTTTTTTTCCATTGCTGGCAATGGGGTGGGCACAGTTTCAGCATGACGCATCCAGCCCCCCAGGCCAGCAGTTTGACATCCTGAGATAAGAGCATTTTATTTTGCTGCAGGCTAATCCAAGCAATTCAGTAACTACTTCACAAAGGAGGACCACTGCTTCAACAATCAGTGATTACCACAGTGTCTGACACTTTTTAGAGTTACTTTTCCTATGAATGCTGTTATATAACAATTGCCTAGTAAATAGGCTGCAGGTTTG